GCCATAGTAGTTATCATACTCCCAGCATCAGACCGTAGACTTGGTACATTCTCAGACGTTTCGCCGGCATCATAGTCGTCATCATCAGTGAGTCTTGCCACTATAATTTGTTTCTTTGGTGAGTTGTAGCTTGGTGCTGAGAATGACAAGACGCATTGACGATACAGATTACGATGCCGGCGAAATTTCTAGGCAAGTACCAAGTAAGAAAATTCAGACAGAATGTGTCCAACTAAGTCACCCTGGCAACACGACCAAATTGCTAAAACGAGGTCAACCCACTTGTAAAGCATGTATTATCGCCACTTGTCACATTTGAGCAGGCATGTATTTTTTCACTCGTATCCCTTATCCAGACTGGCATATACATTCACCTGTTTCCGATGGTTACTACTCGCTTGGCGCGCATCCAAAATACCTTCTGATCGATGTTGCCACTTCCAGGTACCAACATCATTTGACTTGGAAGTTGCTTGACTTTGCTTTCGGAACTTGGTCCTATCGTCAAGGCGACCTGGAGGAACGAACCTTCTTCTGAGTACAAAGTATACATGAAAATTTCTAGAGTCGGACCGTGGACTTTGTACATTCCCAGACGTTTTGCCAGCATCGTCAGTGAGTCTTGCCCCTCTCAGCACCAAGCTACAACTCGTCAAAGCGACAATGAAGTCGATCCTTTGACCAATTGTCTATCTCTTATTATGTTCTGGTGCATTCACCTGTCCTATATCCTCTTAATGCTCCTTCCCCTTCACAATTTCCTACGTGTTTATCTAAACCAAGTCCCGTGTGTCCTTTTGAGTTGACTTAGTGAGACCTGTTCACACACCCAACTGGTTCCCTTATCCCCCCCCCACTATGCTGGAAGTGTTGATACGAGTTTTTCTTTTAGACCGCAATCCTCTTCATACAAGTCGTACCAAAGACTTCCTCTTGCACTATAGGATCACTCGATCACTGCTTTCATATCCCTGCAACACGAGGCGTTATGCTCTACACTCTGTCTTAGACATTCGATAGCACGTATCCTCCAGTCTTAGTGAACAAGCCCCTAAAGTCTGGATTCTCAGGTGGCATGGCAACCTAATTTGAGGTTGCAGACTTCCATATCACTTTTAGGCATATGCAAATAGTGAATCTCGTGGTCAAATCTTTACCTCATGGACCACTTCTATAATCAAATGCATCTACCAATAGTCATCTGTCTATGTTCTCCTCCGCATCTTTCACACCCCAATCCACATTGCTAAGTCTATGACTCTCTAACGCCCTAATCTTTTGTGTGCCGACCCGCAAATTTGGTAGCTATGCTTACTTTCGTTAGCCTAACTGTAGACATCTCCGCTTGATTCTCGAGTATTCCTCTGTAGCCCGCTGCTTGCGATTTCTTTTCCTCAAATTGAAAATATTTCCCTGATCAAGTCGCCTTCATTTTGCTGATCTTGCTAGCCCCTCATCTCAGTCGAGTTTGCCTAAACAATATGCAAAGGTTTCTCTATTCCTGACTTCTTCAATTACTCTGTTCTTCCGATTTATTCCAGTCAGGATATCGATGACTTTTCGTAGTTTCATAATATTGAGGCAGTCATTTTGTCAGATTCCAGCAGATTCAATGTCGCGCCTGTGCACTGTGTTGCATTATTTCCGATATATTCCCGTTTCCATGCTTCTGCAGAGCCTCTGATGCTTCTTGCTTCGTAGGCGGATCTGTCTACCTTTCATCAATACATTTCTGCGAATAGTAGCCGCATTTCATGCGATAATCTCCCGAGCAATCCGGATTGTCAGCATTCAACAATTGCGTCGACAAGTTGGCGAATAGCGTTGTCTTTTCCTATGTCATCACCTTGATATTTCTTTTTCTCAATAAAGGTCGCAATTTTGACTCATTTCACAGGAGGTTAGGTATATCCACTTTTTTTAGAATTAAGTATTGTCTTTTGAGACTACCAGTAAATCAGTTATAAGATGTATTCACCCAATTTCGTTTAAGGTGATGAAGGACAATTCCACA